ACCACAAAGAAAAAACTAAACTTTAGCTCTTCCTACTACAATTTTTTTCTGGTCATTCAGGCTTCCTATTTCATATTTGGATTTAGTTCTGTATGAAATTAAGCAGAACAAGTTCCTTTTCTCTGTTTGCTTTTCATTGCCTTTTTTTTCTGAAATGAAAAATTAGATTTTCTTTATGCCACAATGGGAGAATTTTTGCCATTATGAATATGATTGTATTTATCATGTCTAAACGAGCAGAATAATCATTGGAAATTGATTTGGAAATTATGCTTCGTTGAGTATCTTTTTATGAGTAAATATTGCTTTTTTTATGGGTAGATTAATGTAGGTTATTGAGTGTTGTCTTACTATTTTATTATTTGTGTAAGTTAAGTTATCTTTCTGTTGATTGAGATGTAGCATTAAGCATCGGGAATTGAAAGCTTAGAGCTAGTCACAGAGTCAAGAAGGTTACGGAAAATAATTGTACAACAAACGTTCTCAAAAAGAGTAATTTTATAATATTTTACTGTCATTCAGCTCTAGTTGACTTAAAATAATATTGAATCTTAAGTAGGTCATCAGAATCATTACAAAATCTTTTTTTCAGTACCAAGCTAGTGCCACACTGACAATCCAACTTATTATTCGCTTTCTTAAGTCTATTTGATTAATATTTTGCCTGATTACAGCATTAATTCACAAAATCTAATACTGAATTACATAAAACTTCCATCAAAGTCAAAAGAAAGAGTGATTTTCACATCATAAATATTACATTATCAATATCACCATGATAATCAGCCTCGTTCATTTTATATTAAATGAATTTCTTGCTATCCATAAAAAAAATCTTGAAAGCTTCTTAAATGAGCAACACGCAAGTCAATTCAATTATGTAGCATCTCGCAACAGCAACAGAAAATTACAACTAGGAACACTAAAGTACAGAGGAGAGGAAAGAACATGGAAAATAACTTAATATCTTGTAACATCGTTTGCAGTACACAAGCTTGTAAAAAAAAAGCTACAATGAATGTTCCTAGGGTGGCAAAAATAGAGATTCATATAAGTGAGCCATAATTTATTAAAGCATATTTTTTTAAAGACATTTCATCTAGTCTTAGCGTCCCCCAACGCATTATAACTTTTTGATTCAGCCCAGCTCGACACCTTGCGTCTTATTCGTGTCTTTACCATAATATGAGTGTGGGATGATCTATGTAATGGAAATTGTAAATGAGATGCAGGAAGAAGAAGTAAATTTATGAAGATTCTAGCGGGATTTTCTCATTGGATGTAAATCAACTGTGTTCTATGAAAATTCTGGAATCGTAATGGGGGAAGTAAATTTTGAGATAGTCATAAGTTAATGATAATGTTATCTTATAAGTCAGTATTTTTTAAAGCTTTTTAAGTGGACATTCTTAAGATTATGGCCACACACTATAGACTGGTGAGTCGCAAAGTATAGTTTTCGTGACACTCAAATAAGGAATCGTTTAAAAATGCCACCTTTAAGTCGAAACTTTTAGACCCGATCCCATCTCGTTCATAATATTTTCATCTTGTAAAATGTAATTCCTTTTGATAATTTGGAATTGAATGTTTTAAACAATCTAAAATGTCATTTCCTTAGAAGAAAATTTCTTCGTCAATTGGCTTTGATGTGTCAGGATTATTTGAAATGATATTTTTGCTCTTCTGATGCTTGACATTTTGAATGGAACCTACACAATTTGTGTCTATACATAAACATCATTTTCGAAGAAAAACTAATTTAATGGAATAACGACGCCCAAGCTCTATAAATACAATCCACGTGTTGCTGATCAAATTTTTAAAAATTTATGTTATTATTGACAATGAAAATCTACAAAAATAATACTAAAATATCCGAAAATACTAACATTATAAATTTATCCATGTCATAGTGCCTGCATGAACATTGCACCTGTTATGACTCTCATTTGATTAGAGCTCTAAAACATATTTATGTGGATTGCGTCCCCAACATTAATTAATTTTTCATCCCGCCATAAAATTGCGGTTCACAAGCGACAAAAGCGCTACCAGAAAACCAAAAAGGAAGGAAAAGAGCAAGAGAACATTTTTATTTGTAAAATAAATCATGATGTAAATGACGAAATGAATTTACAAACAAAAAATTTCTTTTTGTATTCCTCTCATCGCATGTGCTGGTGGATGAAATAAAAGACTGTACAGGAAGATTGATAATGGAAATTTAAGAGGAACTCTATTTGCCAAATTGCTTTCTGAATTCCTTAATTTTTTTCATGCGTTCACATGTGCATTAAATTGAGCTTAAAGTTAATGGAAATAATTTCATATTTATTGTCAGTGTATTTTATGATGAACAATGAATTGTCTGTTATAAATTATGCATACGACAACTATTTATGAATCGAAAGGCTTTTTCCGAATATTTTGATTATTTTTTTGTAGGAAGTTGGGTCCTTTGTTTCGTTCCAATTTTTATTGTGAAGTAATTTTTGGTATTAAACTTTTTTTGTTTAAATGTATTGGAATTAAATAAAAACTTTAGTCCTCGCATCAAATTATTATCTGCTCAACAGTTGTGTGCCAGATTTATTTTTGCACAACAGTTGTGCGCCATATCAATTTTATCTATGCAACAGTTGCGTGCCATATCATTTGTATTGGTGCAACAGTTGCGAGCCATATCAATTTTTCTCGATACAACAGTTACGTGCCATATAATTTTTTCTCAATACAACAGTTGCGAACCATATCTAAATAATTCACTCCCAGATTAATCATATTTATGTCATTTTGATTATATGACAAGCGAATAATCTTATAATTACAACTCGAATCATAAAAATTGTCACCAATCACTAAAATAAATTTAATATTGCAGTTCTGCATGAACTATTTTCATTGCATAACAATAACAACTAGAGCTTATAAACCAATTCATCCGAAAAAATCAACCATTTACCGCAATGCATAACACAAATCTCAACCTCAATCATTCAATAACTGTTACAAGTTATCAAATATCATTTTCACATGTCATGTTTTGCTCATCAGCATTGATTAGCCACCCAAATAAACCATTCAATATCTATTAAAACGTGCCTAATCAACAAAATTGCGAATATGCTCAAATGAATTATTAATTTGTTTTCTACAGCACTGAAAATTGTATTCATGAGATGCACAAAATTTGCCACATTGAAATTATTTTATCATCATAATTGGATAACATTCATTATAAATTCCACTCCGCATCAATGATTTGAACTGAATTGAGACATTTTTTGGGGTTTAAAAATTTATGTACATTTTTAACACTTGAGTTCTTGGATTAATGCAGTGAAAAAATTGCACTGAATTACAATTTTTTTATGTAAAATGAATGGAGATTTTTTTTTGAGGTTTTTAATAAAGAATTGAATATATTTTAAATGCACCAGTTTAATTTAGCGTTGTGCTGAATGAAAAGTAAATATTATTCAGAGAATTTTCCATGGATGTAAACTTTAAATTGAGTTTCCTTTTTTTAATGCACGGTTTTTTATTAACAATTTTTCGTTGAATTCTGCAAGGTTTTGTGAAGCTTTTTGATTGACAAATATTGTTTTAAAAATGTTATTAAAAAAATTCGATTCAATAACATTTCATAAGCTCTCACAAATATGAAACTTTTATGAGCAGTCGATGGATTTTTCTGACATATTTTTAATCAGTGAATATTTTGAATGTCTGATCATGTTTAAACATAGGCCGAGTGTCTGATAAGTTTGATGATTAATAATTAATAATGTTTAGTCAAGAAGACGTTTTAATGAACAATATTTGATCGGATACATGATTGATCTTTTAGAAATTTATTAAGAAATGAGATTTTTAAACAAAACTCAAACAAAAGAATTATTTTTTATAGAAACCTAATGACTATAGTTGAAGGGCTAGTCTTGAAAATCAAATTTTTTGTGTTACAAATCGATTAAACGACTCTCAACGAGAAGCAATACAAACAGGATATTGAACTTAAACAAAATACTCGCAGGCACGAGAATGAAAGAGAAATGAATAAAATAAAATAATTTTATTCTTCCGGATTATAAACTTAACAGGAAAAATAATATTCATTTTAATGTAAAACTGATAGCTAGCTACAAGTTGGAAATTGAGATTAAATGATGTTTAAAACGCATTTTAAATCTATTGGGATGAACTTTTGGTGAATTCCTTTTCAACAATTTTAGATACGATTGGATAATTCTTTGAAAATTCGAATGCTCTTAATCTATTCAAAAATGTATAAATTATCAATAAATCCCTATTTTTGACAGAGCTTCAAGCTCCACTCAAAAGTTTGGAGTGCCAAAAATATCGGATAAAGCATCTCCTAGACAGTAGGCTTTTACTTTCTGTCGAGACAAAACATAGACTTATTTTCTTAAAGAAATGGCAATGAACTCATGAAAATCTTCTAGACTTGTTTTCCGTTCATGATTTATTCAACAATTCAGAGAAGTTTAACCCGATAAAATTAATTCTGGAATCAAATTTGTTGTGTTATTCATCCCAGAGCACGCATTCTCAAGATTGCTAATTGGTTGATTAATTATTAAGACATTGATGTCTATTTGTAATTAAAAATGAGTCTGGAATGGTTAATTTGAATCCTGAGTCCACTATTTTTATAAGGCAGAATGAGCAAAGTTAAAAATTGATCTCCAGTGCTGCCTTTGAAGGATTATAGTCATCATATTGGGACTTAAAAAAATAATAAAATTTCAGATTTGTGCAAATAAAAAGTTTCTCATGTCTACTTCTTTCCTCATTGCCATAAACGACAACGAATGTTTTTGTAATTATATTTTATTAAAACGTGAATTTTGTCACATCGTTCTTAATTAAAGTCAAGGGGAATTAAAAATCATTATTGCTGGGGGTAGTAAGCATATAAACATTCTAGCCAAAACAACTTAAGATCTACAATAACCATAAAGTGACCAAATTTTTTAACATATGTGAAGGCTCTTAAAGTGCTGTTCGTTTTTGAAAGTTTTTCCCCATGGATCTGCCTTCTTATCCATACTGCTGCTGCTACTACCACTCTTTGATGACGACATTGTCATTTTACGATCCTGCTCTTTGAAGTCGAATGGTGATGACTTCTTATAAGCACCAGTTTGTGACTTGGAGTCAAATGCTGGTGCTTTGTATGATGAAATGACTTTTGCGTGTCCTTGAACCATTTTTGATGATTTGATTGTTTTTGTGTCTTTTCTTCGAAACTTCTTAAAAAATTTGAGAGTGCGAAAATGTGCAAGAAATTTTTCTTCTTAAATTGCCAAAAATAAATTTTTTATTCAGGAAATCTTTTGCTTAATGTCCGTCAAGGCACTGATTTCATTAACGTAAGCACAGTAAGTTCTAGATTGTTGCCTGAGTTACCGGTTCTTGAACCCTTTCGTATGTTTAAAGAGCTATAAGGAGAAGGAAAAAGATATTTGTGAGTGATGAAGTTTCATACGTTTATTACATCAGCCGATTTTTAAGCCGTGTGCCATAAAAAAAATTCATTCATATGAATACATTAAAATATCTTCTCAATAAATATGTTAATTTTATTCATAATGATTGCAATCGGAATTGAAAAAAAAACTGGATTTTGTGTCGTGTGTGCGAAAAAATAAAGATCTGAGAAAATTGCACAGGTTTTTTTTTTGATCGAGAGAAATTTCACGTTTTGTGATTCATATGGCACATGCCCTTGGTGATATTATGTCTTTATAATTTTTTTGGCGGTCTTTTGGGAATTTTTGATGTGATTTCTTCTTGAGCGACACAATTGGGCCATTTAAGAAGCTTTGATTTATCCTCAATTCAAATAATAAATCTCATCCTTTAAAATCACTCAAAGACTTCCCAAAAAAATCACCAAACAATTATTTTCGAAGATCACACAAACTTGATGCTTACCAGAAATCGAAAATGATATTTTGTCTTTCTCTAAGAGGAGAATCGTGAACTATCATTGACACTATCAGTTGAATTTCGACTACTTGAAGAAATTCTTAATCATTGACTATAAAATCAAGAAATTAATTAATTTGTTTAAACTTTTTTTTTGTCCAGCGACTTTCGCGGTTTCTTTTTTGTTTTTCTTAGGAAAACAGGTTCCAATAATTTTTTTTCAATATAAAGCTTGAGATGCTCTCAAAAGAACTTTCAATTTAAAACTGAATTGACTGTGCCGTGAGACATTTGCTTTTATATGATTTTACCTGTTTACAACTACTACGGTGGGGACTTATTTTTTATGCAAATTAATTTTTTTTTTCGCTGTGAATCTTTTTTTCTGTGCTGTTTGAAAATACAAAGACAGTAAAATTGTCAAAGGAGTGGAAATACAAGCTTATGGACTTTGGTTTAATTTCTTTTTGATGCGATATTCTTACTGGTTCTTGACTTTATAGTTATTAAGTTGTTTTGATCTAGTTGAAGCTGGTTTTAGAGAAAGAAGAAGCTAATATTACGATTCTTGGATTATTTTTAAATCGTAGACAAAGAAAAATTTGAATTAAGGAAGTTTTGAAGCTGGTTTTTGTGGCTTATAGCTGTAGTTGCTTGATAGCGTTTTGATCTTTAATTTAATGAACTTAAGTATGTTAAAATTGCAATATGGGGTTCAGCGGTTCTTAAATTTGAAGCTTCACTTGACAAATTTTGAGTTTTATGAGTATTGTGGATATGGTTAGAAAAACATATCAAGATAGGCCTGAGCATAGGGTTCAATGTGACACTGGTTGTGTGTGTGTATGACGGATAGCCGATGTGGGATAAGTACCTCGGTTGCCGAGTGGCAGGGATCTCTAATCGAGTAGTCAGAGACTGCCTCTTTTGAGGTCGTGGGTTCGATTCCCATCGAAACCGACTTGTTATACATTAGTATAGCAGTTATTTGGAGATGAACAAGTATTAACTAATGGACCTCCAACGAAGGTAACAGGAAAATAAGTAGACTAGTTTCAGATAACTTAATGAGCTCTTAGATCCAAGACATGTGATTTATACCGATCTATCTGAAGCTATCCTGGTTGTAAAAAAAAACATAAAAGTTTGCAAAGGGCTGTAATTTATTCTGAGATTTCCCAGGTTAATCACGTTTAATAAATAATTTATTTTAATCACTAATCAGTCTCTATGCAAATTAGATGCTAATAATAATTTCACCATATTATATTGTATTATTATAAGTTCTACATGAGAATGTCATGAATTTAATCTTATAATTCTTGGAAATCGATCAATTTGATCAAAAGTCTATAGACATTTCATAAATCCACACTTTCCAACCCTTCATTTATTAATCATCAAGCCAGCATGCATCTTTCTTTCTTCCTTGGTAATTTTCCATTCTTAATTTTACTGGAATCTGCTTCAAAAAACCGGTGCTATCACAATAACACAGTAATTTTGGAATCCTTGTAAGTAAAGAGAATTCTTGCGTCAGAAATAAAAGAGAATCTTTATGGGATTGTTTATCGAAGAGAATTTAAATAATTAATTCTTAGTAACTGACGTCAAAATCAGATGATTCGACAATGTTCACGTTCTCCTGAAATGAACTTGGTCTGATCAATTCATATTCATATTCTAAAAAGAAGAAATCTTGTATGAACACGTTAGCTGTACCGTTTATGGACAGTTGCTGGAAGTGAGGACGTGCGGTCAGTAAAGTATCACATTTTTTGGGTATCACCAACGAAAATTAATTCTCCGAATCTTCTTATTGATATTTTGAATGAATTCTGCTTTTATATGCGACACTATTCAGAGAGTAATGCTAACATGCAAACCGGCACGTAGCTTTCGCTGGTTTCTTTTATATTCATTTTCAAAAAAGGCATTTAAGATAAATTTTTATATCATATGTATTTTTTGGTATTATTAGTCGGATAACATAAAAATGAGGCAATGATAAAATGAGGTTCTTAAATGGCAGTTCTTGAATGTTTGCCTTGAATTTTACTTGTGGGAGAGAACATAAATGAGGCATTTTAAGAGTAAGGTCGTTGAGAGGATAATGCCAAGTAAATACACAGTTTTAGGACAATAGCTTTTTATGCAAGAAATATGAAGTATAGGATTGAGTACGAGGAATTACTGCATTCAAATCTGATCCAGATTTATAGTCAAAACCACTTTGTTTATCAAAGATTTTCAAGTTTTTTAAACATTAAACTTAGTTTTTGCATAACTGCTCTAAATTAACTCATTTGATGATTCGTAAGGCTCATCAAAAAGATTTTGGATTGAAAGGATTGAATGTGAACAGTTTGGTTTGTCAATGTCAGTCAAACGGATTCAAAAACCTTAAATTGACCCTAATAACTTAATTATCATGTGTTAAACAGTTCATAAACCTTAAACTTTAAGTCAACTCCCGTCCTTTGCATTAACACAACAATAAAGTTGTTCCATATTTTCGCTTTTTATTCAATATTGTTGCCATGCGGTAATATAGCTCTCTTTCTCTCACCGAACGATCACTTTGTTGTTGATCATCTGATATGGTTGACTGAGAAACAAACCTGTTTAAAATTTTACCGGCTACCAATCATGAAGGAGAATTCCTTACAATTTATGGCATGTTTATAGACTTACCTAATTTCTAATTCGATTTTCTACATATTTAAAGATCGCATGATTGTAAGCTTGTCTTGTGACTCTTTTTTAACGATTCAGCAAAACTTTACTAATAGAATTTTCTTAGCTTAGCAACAAATCTTTAAATTGTTATTGAATTATTCAAATGTTGTATTTATGCTAATTAGCTACTTTTAGTGAGTATCTACTTTGATGATTGAGGCTTTGTCATCAAAAATGTATTTTATTTTACTGGCAGGCTTTTTCGTGTTGTTATGAAATGTTTAATAGCTTCTTTTTGGGGTATTTGATGTAATGAGTAAGATTGACTTTGGAAAATTTCGTTTTTATTAAAAATTGTAATTAGAATTGGAGCTATTCATAAATTACGTCTATCAAAAAATGAGATTTTTAAACCCCCTTTAGAAAATTTTGTTTGATCTGTCACAAATCTTTGTTCTATCTTTCAAATGTTGGGATCATTAATAAACGTCAATAGTTATGTAAAGCTCCATTTTCCAAGTTTTCTGCCCCTCACTTTTAATTCTTCTTAGTTTCAATTTTAAAAGATTAATTTTATTTTATTCACAACCTCAGATGCCCCCTTCCCCACACCAGAACGTGAACTTAATTAGTGAACAACCTCTTTTCTAATTACAACTAAGTCAACAATAGCTATATCATTGACTACATTTTAAAGGGTGCTATTGAACTTCTAAGAAGGTTTGTTTATCCCTTTTGTGAAATAGCTTGAATTAATTAAGAGTTGACTTCCGAGAAATTTGATAGAGTAAGTCTTTTGAAATTTGTAGGATTTGTGTTACTTAAATAAAGAGTTTTATTTAGAATATCTTATTGAGGAAGTTTAGGATTGGATTATTTAAATCAGAAATTCATCTTCTTGCTTTAATTTGCTGTGCTTCTCATACAATTTTTAATGTATGACATTTTTTTGCATTTATGAAAATTAATTCTATAAAAATTCAAATGCTAGAATATCATTAAGACACAAATGACGTATTTCCAGCATGTAGAACTGTTATTAGCTAGAAAATCTAGACTGGTGAGTGTCGCAAAAAAAACCAGTGAATACTGGAATGCATCAGATCATGCACGAGAATTCCTGAGTTTTATGGAAACAGTCAAGTTATTTAATCAGGTTACAAAATAAGAAATATTTAAATTAAATGTAAATAGGAATTGCATGAAAAATGTTGAGGTAGGCAGTGCTGAAAGATCTGTTTTTCTGAGGAATTTGAGAATTTCTGATGGAAATTATTAGGTAAAATTTCATCAGAAATCTATAGAAGGTTGAAAACAAAAATATCAATCATAATGATTTAAAGTGTCTTCGATTATTGTTGTTGATTTTGGGAACATTATGCTAAGTGGCTTATTATCTAGTCATAAAATCCTAAAAAATTTCATTTCAAGTTTTTAACAAAAATTCCAAAATATTTCATCAACATATTTTTAAAAAATTGAAGGAATGAATTCTGGGAATTTTGTTAATATGGATATATGGAAAATCAACGTCAACAAGATTATTCTTCTTAACATTTTGTGTTGATATTGACATTAAATAAACGTTTGATGAAACATGAGACATCCTTACAATCAGGGGCGTAGCAAATCACAAATTTAAGTTCAAATTGCAAGGAATTTGGTGTCACTTTTGATGCCAAGGTCTCTGACAACATCTGCATACATCATTTTATAAAACATCAAACTTTCAAATCATGAAATTTTCGAGTTGAAAATCTAATTTTAATCTGGAAGTGAAATATTTTGTTGGTTTATGCATTAAAGGTTTTTTGTATATTAACAAACACAATATTGGTAAGCGGTAGTCACCGATAGAGCCAGTTTTAGGCGGCATCTTGGTCGCATGGATCACAATTGATCTGTAAGTTCATCGAAGTAAGTAATTAATCAACAAACACGTGTGCTCCATATAAAAATTATTTTCAATAACTTTTCAGACCTTTAAGTCATAAAATTTGTAATTCTTATGAATTATAACCTTTTCGCTGCTTCATATCGTCTTCCTGTATTCTTTAAAATTAAAGCAAACACAAACTTTTGACTTTACAAATAAGTCTGTTCATATCAAAACAAATCCGCATTTCATGATTAATATAAACACACGTGACTGCCTGAAACAGCACATATTTCTCTTGAGGACATCAAAATCCCATAAATACATCACAAATTAAACTTTGACCTGCTGTTCAAGCCACAAAAAAATATATCTTCATATAAGTTTTATCGACTTTTGTTAACCTAAACTATTTGCAACTATAAACATGTTTATGATTATCATGAAGCAATTCTTGTCTGTGTAAGTAAGTTTATGTATGAAAAGTCTATCGGAAATGTTTTGACATTTGCTCCAATGAACTGGGTATAAGAGAGCAAAGTTCTCATAATTTATGGCAAGCATAATAGGTCACATGTTGGGGTCATTCAGGAACGAGAAATATGAGAGACAAGTACAAGATGAAAGTAATGTTTTTATGCCAGGATAATTTTATTTTTTCTTTTACGAATCTTCAGCATGTCGCACCTAATTTATGTGCCATCTTCAGTATGTCTTAATGAAACATTATTAGATTTCTTTTCCGTTGTTGCCTTTCATGTCTTATTTATGTCATGTATATACACCCCCATATCCTCTAAATTCCATACTTGAACTTGATGTAATTGAATTTTCCTACCGCAAATGATATGCGGAGGTGATATTGACATGAACTGCCAAATTCATGTCATGAACAAATAATAAAGTATCTCAACTTATTGCTTAATTATATCCAATCTGATTACCAAATCTTGGAATGCTTGTTGAAGGATATATACAAATATTTACCACAAAAGCAAGTTTTGAAGTTCCTAGAAGTAAAATAGATTATAAAGAGGATGTTTGCATTGACAGTTTTGGATTGAATTCTTGTTTAGAATAAGCGTTGTGGGGGGGGGGGGGGGGGTACTCCAGGTAAAATAAATGGAAACTGCTTGGATTGATTTTGGTAAATTTTACTAATTGTCATAGCTTATACCTGACGAAACTAGTCAATTTGATCACTTTAATCCTTCTTGATTCTAATCGGAAGGGGGAAGGGGACTTCCTTACAAAACCTAGTAGCTACTTACCATCGAAATTAAGCATAAATAAAATCATAAAATCAACGAACAATTTTTAAAATTATTTTAACTCAAAAGCTCCCAACCACATGCTGTATACACCTGCCAGATGCAAAAAAAAACAATCTTACAAAATTTTCATAAAAACAAAATGTAAGGAAGTATGTTAAGCATAAAAGCTTATTTAAAACAATTTCCTCGTCAGTTGTTCTTTCCTGACATCATCCGGAGTCAAGTTTAAAATAAAAATTGAGCTAAAAAGTCTCTCTCAACATCCATCAAATGCACAAAGCATTATTTTTTTACAAAACACAATTTCGTCCATCAATCACTGTAAAAAAATACAAAACTTTTTTGAGGAAAGCAATTTCACAGCTTGAGATGCAAGAATAAAGAAACAATCAAGAATTGAAACGGAAGTAACAAGTAAATACGTAAAGCACAAGTGGAATAAATAAAAATGTGTTGAAGTAAAAAACTTAATCAATTTTCCTAAATGACACATCACTTTTTCTCGCATTTATTCTCATTTTTATGCTTTCCATGCTGTTCCTTTTGAAATGTAGACATTTATAGGATTATATATATAATCTAAGAGCATCTGTAAATATTCATTGCCTTGAATGTACACAAATCCTCTCATCTATGCATTGTATAAACATAAAATGTTGCTCTTTTTTTCCTGTATGTGTGCTGCTTCTTTGTAAGCAAGGCAGCTTTTTTTTTCTCGGAAAAACTTTCATCTCTTTTTACACAAAAAAAAGAACTTTCCTTTCTGTTTTCGTGTACTTTGCCATTTTCATCTTCTTCAATCTCACTATAGAGCTTACTATGGGGGCTGTTTACAAATGATTGTAAAGATTAAAGGCTGGTGCTTGATACATTATTCAATAAACTTGTGTAGAGGCTGTGAGATGCTTTGAAAACCACCTAATTCACAATAGACATCATTTATGAACCATCCTCACATATTATGGCAAAAAGGAACAAAAAAAAGATGTGAACGAGAAACAACAAATTGTTTTGATAAAGTCAGTTGTGTATTTTTTGTTCCTTCCTTTACAAACCCGCAACGTATACACATATTGTTGGTTGCAGTGGATGATACAATATGTGTGATAATAATAGAATGGGTTCACCATGAGCTTGTGAAGAACAAAAAATAGACAACTTGAGTGACAACTATGAGCGGATATCAAAAGGCGCTTATTCTTGATAGGTTGGGAAGGTTGGGAATAATCCAATGCTGTGACTTTAGTCGCTATTTTTATTGCTTCCTTTTGTCTGAGTCGTTTGAATAATTTTGAAATAATTGTCACACATTGAAATGTTTGCAGCCCGGTGAGCGGGTTGATAGTATAATTTGAACCAAGCGTAAGCTGCTTGGAAGCCATTTCCAACTGGATGGTTGCCACTTGACTGCCGCTTGGTTTTAATTACACTTTCAACCCATCCACCGTGTAGATAACTTTTCAATGAATTTTAATGTATGCCGATCGGGACCTTTTCCCAAAACAGACATAATTAAAAACACAAATTTCAAAACTTTGCTAAAAATAAAGGAACAGAATCTTTTGTTTTTTCAAGAATCTCCTTCATTGTTTGGAGCTTACTGACAAAAATAAACCCCAAATATCCAATCTTTCGCCAATTCAAAAACTCCCACAAAACTACCATAACAATGAAATATAAAAGCACAATCGTTCATCTTAAAGCCATATAAGACATTCTTGCTTCCTCTTCGTTCACTGCTACATGTTTTGTTCCCAACAACAATGTGGCAGCGGTAGAATGAGAAGAAGTGAAAAATGTTACAGGAGATATTTTGTGACACACAAGAGGATCAAATGTTTGAGGCATCACATACAAAATCCCCTTTATACTTAATTTTTACCACACATTTTTGTACTTTAAGTATCATCATAGTCATGTTAAAGGATTGTTTTCATCACTCTGTTGGAATTTTTTCATAAACACTCTATTTGTGTTATTTTTTCATTTCGTTGCGTCCGATGAGAAAATATTAATAAGGAAAAATGTACTCACTTGTTTCCATTGCCACATCTTGTCCTAGATGCTTAATTGCATAAAGCAGTAGAAAACCATAGGACAACTGAAATCCCGTCGTTAGAATGTGCGCTAAAAATGCAACACTGCACACGATCCAACCCCAATCTGTGGATGTGGTAAAACGGTGTGAAACTAAATAGAAAAAAAAATCTAGGGAATGTTATGCTGTTACCTCCGTCTGGGTAGTAATGCTGGAATGAGAATATAATGTTAAAGGAAAATTAATAGTTTATTCTGTGCTGGTTAACAAATAATTAATGAGGTATGACTTTGATTTTAGCAGCATAGATGCATAAAGTGACTAAGAATCGGAATCAAGCTACAAAAATTTCAATCAATTCTTAAATTTCAGGCAAAAACATAGAAACCAAAAACAAACTTTAATAATAACAAGTCATCAGACTAAACCATTTCATCCGCCTCATCTCCCATCTGCCATACAATTATAGAATCGAGCAAAGTCATCTCATTTCCACCGTCAATTATCACAATCCTTTTCTATTCCGTTTCATTTCTTACCTGTCTAATAGCATTAGCATCAACGCCAGAACGTCTTAATCCTGGGATTGTGTGATGAAACCTATTAAAGTCATGCTCTAATAGTGTTGGACAGTCTTCTTCCTCATCAACGAGTCTCGTATTGGCATCAAAGCCTGAAAAGGACATAACTTTAATTAGTGATGATTTAATGTGGAGCATTTTTCTACTTTTAATGCCTGAATCGATATTTTTTTTTCATCCCCGTTTTAAATATAAATTAACTTTCATTTACAGGCAATTAAATTTTTTAATTAAATTATATAGATAAAGGACATTGAGATGATACAGCGATATGTTCGAGCAATATGCGGTCATGTAATATAATTTTTATTAATTTTTATTAAATTTTAATTTGTAAAATGGAACCGATTTTTCTGGAAGGATAATTTTTTTTGCGTCACAGCTTTTAATAATTAAATTATGGATATGGATAAATGCTTGGAGAATCGAAATTGTAAATAATTGTTCTGAGAAGCAGCTTGGATTTCAGATTTTAGGGAAGTTGCACTCATATCCAGTAATCAGAGAAAGAATCAGTTACCAACCAAAAAAAAATATTCTCAATGGAAAGTTTTTGGATCATTATCGACATCTTCTTATGTCTTGATTTTTGTAAAAATAACCAAGCAGAACACATAAAATTTAAAAACAGAATACAAATGAGATTTCGGTCGGCAACAATTTTTTATAGGGTTTTAAAAAGTTTTTTATCGAGAAGAATCTACAAAAATTAAGAAAGGTCGTTTACAGGTTTCGTTTTCTAAAATTGATTACTTAATTTATCACTAATCTATCCTAACCGATTTAATAGTGCCACTTTACATATAAAGTTGTTGTTTTTTAATATAATTCTTAAGAATCTTAATATGAAGATGTATTGTGGATAGAAAATTTGTTGTTGCTTATCATCATAGGAAGGTTCACGACTTGTAGATCATCATTTCCATTTTTTTATTGAGAAAATGCAAATTCAGTATAAGATACAAAAAATATTGAGGAAGTGATCGGTTCTGTTTAGAAGCTATAAAGTTTTTGGTCTAATCATTGCCATTTTGGAGTCAAGAATCGAATGATTTGAATAGTAAACATGTTTAGACTTGATTATTTGACTTAATGCGACTTGAATGGATCAAAGTTTGGTAACAGTAGTTTGAAGATTGTTATGAGTCAGTTGTAGACCAAATTTGAAGTGAACTAGATATTAAGCAGTTAAGTGCCTTGCTGGTCGAATAGGTAAGGCGCTTGGCTCAAATTTATTATTATTATTATTATTATTTGGTATGGTAACTCGAAGGTCGTCGGTTCGAATCCAGCCATTTCTAAATATGTTCTTTTTCGGAAGTTTAGATACTTTGACTGCTTAATGTCTAGTTAATAGCTTTGCAATTACAATGTGGAGTAGCTTGTGGATTTCAGAATAAAAATTAAAAGTCTCAATATTCTCAAGCTACGCCTATGATTATAAATAATGTCAAAACCACTAATTCAGACAAAACCGATTAACATGGACCAGACGCGTAGCCAGGGGGGATTTGGGGGACAAATCCCCCTTCGTCTTGAGAAATTTCTTAATTTTGCTAGAGTTTTTGTGAAAAACTCGAAAAAATCCCCCCCCCCCCCCCCCCCACCTCTAAAAGTTTTCCATACAAAAAAAATTGTCCACCCCCCCCTCTTCAAATTTCTGGCTACACCCCATATTATGGACCTAAAATTATAATTAGAATTAATGTCTAATCATAATAAAGCATTAGAAATGTTGATATTATCCAGGTTTACATCTATTTCATAATTACCACTTTTATCTTATTCAACAAAAATCAATAAAAGTCCAAAACAAAACATGCACTGCAGGCAGTCGATTTGATTATTCCACATAACATAATATTTTTCAAATTATTCTCAATCCCACACTTAATTTAATTCCAATTATTTTCATTTTACAGTTTTGATGAAGAAGCTCTTTCATGCTGTATTATTATGATATCAATTTCACGTATGAATGCAATCGAATTCTCATTGTAGCACCTCCGAACAAACGTATGGAATTCATTGAATTGAATTTTCTACTCTTGGAAAATGTTTTCATGCTTTTCTTGGTGAACAGGAGAAAGGAAATTAAAAAAAGAGGAAAATTTCATGAAAAGAAAAGCTTCTCAATTGAAAATAACAATATTTATGTTCCATAAAATAAGCATGAGACAGCAAATCGCTTTTTATTTCTCTTTCTTACTTCTATGAGATATAAATAAATTTATGATGTGTATTATTACTAGAAGATGAATGTGTATTGCATGGCAGAGAATGAACGATATGAGTAAGAGTCGATTATGGCAGGGATGAAGCAGGATCTGATATCTAAGCTTAGATTTCCAAATTTTCTTAAATATCTTAGAAACTTGTAATTTGAATAGGTCCTCGAACAAACCCTAAAATACTTGACAAGAATTGAATAAAGAGTGTCTAAGGTAGCCCCAACAGCATCCCTGAATTATGAAAAAACTTTCATTTGTCAAAAATGATTGAATATCTGCATGACTGCATTTCAGATAAAAATTGCAAAAATAAAACTACAGCATATGGATCTCATCTGCTTGACAAATTGACTTTGCCACAGAACACAACAGATCAATATAGAAAATTATTATAAAGACATACGTGCATACAGCAAGTAATTGTACAAAGAGATGAGACATATCAGCGAGAAAAGCTTCTTTTTTTACGATTCATATGGGATAGGATTGTAAACCTCAGAGCATGATGGAAAATGATGACAAGGGAAAATGTTCTTCCTTCATTTCGTCACTAAAAGCAATTTTTCCTTTCTTTGCCGTCATTCCTTTTCTTCTCTCGATTCATAAAAATAATATAATACGAACACACAATGTACAACTGTCCCAGCTTGTTGTAACGACAACAACAAAACATCTACTTCAATTCCCTTAAGATTACAATCAGGAAATGAAAGTGTGAAGCAAGAAGAAGTTCTCATGTATTATTTATGTCATGTAAATCGGATATTGTATTTTTATTGCATGGCTCATTCCTTTTTCTCACTCTCTTGGTCTTGGCTAACAAAAGAATATCCCTATAGGGACCGTCATTAACATTGGATCACTTCTGGCATACGATCAATTCAATATATATTATGTGCTTATGAATATTGTGTTGTTGTTCACAATGAGGTGTCTAAAGGAAGTGTTTAATCGTTTGTGAGGATAAATCGAGTAAGGAATGAAATGAAGGGGGATAAGACGCTATTCTGAAGTTGTTCTAGATACTTGACCTTTGGATGTATGGTAAACTTTTAGACGTGTACTTGATTCAGTATTTACATGATCGATTGTTTTTGTGGCTACGATTGGAAATTGCTCTAATTCTGTTTAAGGAAGCTAGTTTTCTTCTGGAATAAAAAAATGTTAAGACAAGTCGAGGAATGTTGATCCTTATGTAGCTTTAAAACAAAACAAATTCAATCAAACCAATTAAAATTTAAATGCAACTCCTTTTTTACAGTCAAAGTGATACCAAAACCAAAGAAACTTTCATAGTTGACTAATTCTTAGATTCTCAGCTTGCATCCTATAGTGTCTAATTCCAGTTAAAGACTTGTTAATTATATTTCAATGTTCTTTATTTGTATTCTTTCGTTGTCACACTTATTGAACTACCCAATTTGAAATTCATTTAACCGTTATTTCTATTTTCGTTGTTCCGGATCCCTACATCCTCCTCTAAGCTAAAAAAAAAAAAAAAAAAATAATAAAAAAATATTAATAAAAGTTCAGCTTTTTCTTTATTTTTCATTGCAACACGACTTAAATCGTTGACTATTCATCCATATATCGAGCTGGTTTTTGAATTCGTCTCTTTTGCAATCTGAGTCAAAGAAATTACTGACGGCCAGCACTCAACATTGCAAACAAACACACGAGATTCCTCTACAAATGCTTCGTCTTGTCCTTCATATAGTCTTGACAGTGGGTCTGCAATATTGTCTTTACCAGGTATATACTTAATATCAAGATCGTAGTGCTGTAAACGCAATGCCCATGATTCAGCTCTGGATATAGCTCGTTTATTAATACGAAAAGCTCCCTTGAAAATGAATTGTAGTGCACGGTAATCTGTACATAACGTAAATTTAATTCCCGACAAATAATAGTAGAATCTTTCTACTGCCCAAACCGCTGCCAATGCTTCTCTTTGTGCTTGTGGATATTTCCTTTCGACAACTGTCAATGTCTTCGCAGCAAACTCAATTGCCCGATTTGTTGACCCAAATTTCTGTACCAAAGCACTTCCTAAACTAGTTGGTGACGCATCTGTGAAAACTATTGTCTCATGCTGAGGATCAAACATTCCCAATTCAAGAACAGTTTGACAAAGTATGTCCTTTAGCTTATCAAATGATGCTTGATGATTGCTTTCCCATATCATTACTTTATTTCTCACTATCTCTAGGAGCGGTTCACTGATATGTGATAAATTCGCTATGAATTTTCCTAAATAATTAACTAATCCATGAAAACTTCTGACTTCCTCTACCGTTTTTGGTCTAGTAAACTTTTTAACTGCCTGTATTTTTGCTTGCGATGGTCTCACTTTATTCTTGCTTATTGTTAATCCCAGAAAATCGATTTGTTTCAACTTAAACTCGCATTTCGCCTTATTCATTGTCAAATTATTCTGTCTCAACATGTCCAACACTTGTTTCACGCGCCCGTCATGTTCTTCCTCTGTTTCGCCAGCGATTATGATGTCGTCCAAGTAGCAAAACGTTCCTTTTATGCCCTCGATCAATTGACTCATGATCTTCTGAAATATCTCAGGAGCACTACACATGCCAAATGCTAAATGCTTAAATTGCATAACGCCTTTATGCGTCATAAACGCTGTGATGTATCTGGAATTCTCATCCAGCTCAACGTGATGATATGCACTCTTAATATCGACCTTTGCAAATAATGCACAATTTCTTAATTTACTTAAGATGAATTCCAGAGTTGGGATTGGAAATAACACTCTCTTGATTGCTAAATTAAGCTCTCTCATGTCAACACAGCACCTTATATCATTAATTCCTTCTTTTTCCATCATCTCCCGAATCTCGACAACACGTTCTTCTTGCGCACGTAGAATGCAATTTAAAGTTTTCTGTT